TTGAGCTCCTTGAGTTTGGATGACATAGCTTCATTTGCTTCTCTAAGCTCAACACTAGACTTTTCGGCTATGTCACATTTAGCTAAGAGAGAATCATTCTTAATCTCAAGCTTTTCATTTTTAGCTCTAATCTTTATAATGATCTTAGTGTATTTCTTTAGCAATTTAGCAAGATCATCATAAGAAGGTGATTCATATTTATCATCATCGCTATCACTATCACTCTCATCATTATGAGCATGATCATCACCACTACTATCATCATCATGTGATACCTTTCATTCACCTTGGGCCATAAGGCATAGGTGTGTAGAGGATGATGGCGGTGGTGGCGGCGAAGATGATGAAGAGTCAATAACAATGGCGGCCACCTTCTCATTATCACTATCATCATCGGATGAGCAACTTGATGAGTCAATGTCTGTGAGCCAATCACCGACGATGTAAGCCTTTCCACTCTTCTTCTTCTTGTGGAAGTCCTTCTCCTTGCCATCTCTCTTCTTGTATGGCTTGTTCTTTTTTTTCTCATCTTCATCTTCATTGCTTGAGTCATCTTTCTTGTCCTTGTTCTTATTCTTGAACTTGTCTTTCTTGGGCTTGGTGCATTGGTGAGCTAGATGACCAAGTTCTCCACAATTGTAGCAATCCATCTCAGAGATTGGCTTCCTCCTAGAGCTTGTGAAGAACTTCTTCTTCTTGCTATCGAACTTGATGCCACTCTTGTTGAGCTTCTTTAGCATCTTGGCGGTTTTCTTCACCATGAGAGCAAGGCTTGCATCATTAACTTCATCATCACTTGAGCTCTCATATTCAAGCCTTGCTTTGCCCTTCTCTTGGCTAGCTTTGAATGCTAAATCTTATTCTTTCTTCTTTGTAGAGGATGAGCCATCTTGAGGTGTGATGTGCATATACATCTCATGAGCATTGATCTTTCCCAAGATTTGTGTCGGTGTAGCGGTGGAAAGATCACCTTGATGTAGCACGGTCACAATATGCCCATATTTATCAATGGGAAGGACACTCAAGATTTTTCTTACAACATGCACTTGAAGGACACGTGGACGCCTAAGAGGGGGGGAATTAGGCAACTTAAAAATCTAACTCTAAACTATGGCCTCTTTTTCTAACCCTAGCAAAACCTATGTAATAGACAAGCTATTTAGATGTGCAACTACAGTTTTGCTAGTGTGTTGCTATCTCTACCGCAAATATAGTAAAGTAATCAATGTAAATGCGGAAGCTAAAGAGCAAGGTAGAGATATGCAAACTCCCGTCGACGACTCCGGTATTTTTACCGAGGTATCGAGAAGCGCGCAAGCTTCCCCCTAGTCCTCGTTGGAGCCCCTCGCAAGGAATCCCTCGCAAGGGCCAAGCTCCCGATCGGGTAACTCCATGGATAGCCTCGGGCCTTCCCCACGCGCAAGTGGGTCTCCGACGTGCCTTCCGGCAAGCCTCTCCCGGATGCTCCCCACCGTCTTTACTATCAAGCTTTCGGCCGAAACGCCGCGGGCCTTGTTTCCTTCGGTACACGGTGGCGGCCGCACCACAAACGCGGTTGGTGCGATCTCGCAAGACTTCAAGCCCCTCCGATGTACAACTCTTGTGCTCGCAAGCATGGGGTGGTAAGAGGTATGCAAACCTCACTAAACACTAGGCATACACCTAGAGCAAGCGCATAAGCGGTGGTCTAATCAACCTAAGCACTTCGCAAAGCACCTACGCTAATCACCTGATGAAACACTAAGCACTTAGCAAGTGGAGATCACTAAAATGGTGTATCAACACCCTTGGTATGTTTCCTTAGCTCCTCTCATCTCAAATGGCCGGTTGGGGGTTGTATTTATAAGCCCCACTGAGAAAGTAGCCGTTGGGGTCGAACTCCCATAAATTGCGCATCTTGACCGGACGAATGAATCGCCCCGACCGGACGCGTCCGTCGTCCCGACTGCCGTAGTAGCCGCGAACTACCGATCGGACGCCGCCCGTCGGTCGCTTCGCCACCGGACGCGTCCGGTCATAGTTTTGCGCGCTACTGAACCTCTTCAGACTCGATCGGACGCATGCTGCGTTCTGCGTCCGGTCGGTTGCCGCCAGGTCAGTCCTTGCGTCCGGTCGTCTGTCGCCGAGCCACCGGTCCAGCGTCCGGTCACGCTTCCAGCGTCCGGTCCAGCGTCCGGTCGCTTTTTATGGCTTCGTTTCTTCGCGATCTTGCGCACGGCTTGGTTCCTATCTTCATGCTTGGACTTTGCTTGACATCTTGGGTCTTTTCTTGTGCTTCTAAGGTCTTGCTTGAGGTGTTGATCATCAGATCATCATGTCGCCTTCGTCCAAGTCACGTCTTGCACCTTATCGGACTACAAAACAAACACTTGCAAATTCATTAGTCCAATTTGGTTGTGTTGGTCATCAAACACCAAAATCCAAAGTAAATGGGTCAAGGGTCCATTTTCCTTACACATTGGATAGTTGCATTTGAGTGAGTCTAAGCCCATTGACTTCCTCTACAAGAATATTCAAACGTGAATACATTTCATTAGCACATTCTTTAGGAAGCATTTCAAAAGAGTTGAGCTTTTTCATGACAAGATGATAGTGTTCCTCACGCTCACTCTTTGTTCCCTCATGGAGCACACAAACGTCCGACCATAGTGCATGGGCGTCTTTGTGGTTCCTCACCCGGTTGAACATATCTTTACAAAGGCCTCTAAATATGGTATTTCTAGCCTTTGCATTCTATTTTTCGTAGTTCAACTCATCGCCTTGTGGGTGTGCGGCATCCACAGGTCTTGGGAAGCCTTGTGAGACGGCTCTAAGTATTCCAACATCTAGAGCTTCTAAGTATGCCTCCATACGAATTTTCCAATAAGGAAAATCGTCCCCCTCAAAGATAGGAGGAGGTCTATCCCCGTGAGACATCTTTCTCTAGGCGGTTAAGCCTAAATACGTGAGCACAAGGCTCTGATACCAATTGAAAGGATCAAGATGCCCAAGAGGAGGGGGGTGAATTGGGCTAATTCTAAATATCTTTGCAATAATTAAATCCTGCGGTTAGCCTAATTAACCCCTTGTGTCTAGAAAGTGTTTCTAATTGTTCTACCGCACAAAAGGCTTGCAACCTAGGTTCCAATCCTACTCTAGCATGGCAATTCTATGAATGTAAAAACAAGAATTGAATTGCTCAAAGTAAATGCTCAAAGTAAATACTCAAAGTAAATGCTCAAAGGAAATAGAGGAGGAACGCGGCGATGTTTTGCTGAGGTATCGGAGAGTCACCACTCCCCACTAGTCCTCGTTGGAGCACCCACGCAAGGGTGTAGCTCCCCCTTGATCCGCGTAAGGATCAAATGCTCTCTACGAGTTGATTCTTCGACACTCCGTCACGGTGAATCATCCACAACCGCTCACAACTTGAGTTGGGTCATCCACAAGCTCTCTGGATGATCACCAAGCTCCCAATCACCACCAAGCCATCTAGGTGATGGTGATCACCAAGAATAACAAGCACGAACTCTCACTTGACCACGACAAGCCTAATGAGAAGGGTGGATGCACACTTTGCTACTCTTGATCTCACTAATGAGGGCTCTCTTTGGGATTCTCAAATCTCAATCACCTCACTAGGACCTTGCTCTTCTTGGCACTCTCTAAGGTGTTTCTCAGCTGTTGGAATGAGCAAAAGTACCCCCACACACGAGTGGAGGTTGTATTTATAACACTGGCTGAAAAATGAACCGTTATGTGCCTCTGCGGGGTGACCGGATGCTCCGGTCATGTTGACCGGACGCTCCGGTCAGTACACCCCGAACTCCATTGTTTACAGTGTGACCGGACGCTGGCCAGCGTCCAGTCAGCACTGACCAAACGTGTCCGGTCGTGATTTTCCCTCTCTGGAACCTTACTGGAGTCGACCGGACGCTGGCTCTTAGCGTCCGATCACTTCACCTCTCAGCGTCCGGTCGCACCAGACGATTTCACCTTGGTCAAATGAACTGACCGGATTTTACGCTAGCGTCCGATCAACCCGGAACCAGCGTCCGGTCAGTATTTGACCCTCCATTCACTTCCAACTCTCGATCATATGTGAATGAAGTTTGCTCCATTGGATCAAAAGGCTATTTTGGAGCTACCTAGTGCTAGTTTTAACAAGTGTGCACCATACCTAACTCACTAGACTCACCTAGGTCAAGCTACCCGTCCATACCCCCTTAATAGTACGGCCAAAGGAAAAACAAAGTCCTAAACTACTCTAAGTGTCTCTTCAACTCCAATTGACACTTAGAACTAGTCCATCCTTAACCTTGTCGTCCATCCTTTGAAAATCGAAATGATTTCCATTGTAGGGGCATGACCACCATGATTGCCCAATCGATCTCCATTACCATGACCTAACTTAATTTCCTCTGCAAAATACACGTTAGTCATAGTAATCACGTATTGTCATTAATCATCGAAACCCAACTAGGGGCCTAGATGCTTTCACAGCCCATGCAACCGGCACCACAGTCTCCACCACCATCGGATCTCTCGCCGTGCAGTGGATCTGGTGGAAAGAATAGCGAGACAAAGTGGGACGAAGGTGTGCGACGTGCGATTTGGGCGAGTGGCCACCCCACCAGGGGCTGCGCCGCATGCCCGCATGGCTATGGCACCGCCGGGACGGTCGTGCAGCGCGCGGAGGTGGCCACATTTTGGGCCATGTCGGGAGAGAGGGAGAGAGAAAAAGGAAGAGAAGGCTGGGGTGGAGACACGGACGCTGTAGAGCTAGTTCCATCGATCGGTGAGGGTAGGAGCGACGGTGTCGCCTAACACGACCGCGGATAAGGAGCGGACTACACGTCAAATGGTTTCTTTTCTTTTGCGATGCGGGCAAGTGACGTGAACGGTGCCGCGCGACGTAGGCAAGCGGTGCGAGCGGGTTCGTCCGTCGGACGCCCAGGTCTAATCATTGTCAGTACGAAACCGAACGACGCCTACAGGGCGAGGGAGCACTGATGACTGACCGTAGTAGTCGGAGCCAAGGACAATGGCGCGGTGGGCGCTGCGTGAGCTGGTGAGGTAGGCCTCGACGCCGTGGAAGTCGCGCACGGTCTGGCCCGCCTCGGCACCCGTGGCCGTCATGTCCGGCGGGTTGTCCATGCACGGGTGGTGCTGGTGCTGGAGCGACGACGACCAAGCTGCCCGGGCAGACGGGAGCACGAGCAGCGCGTTGCCTTCCTCGGCCGAGGCGAGCGCCGCGGAGGCGGCGAGGACGATGGCGAGGAGCAGCAGCGACGAGGTCGCCGACGACCCCTTGCTGGCGCCGGCCATGGCGATGGTGGCGGTCTCAGCTTTTCGCGAAAGTCCACGAGCTAGCTAGTGCTGGTAGGTGGTTTGGCGGAGATGCGCGGGGCTCCGGGGCGATTGAGTTTTTTCTATTTCTATTCCTACTAGAATGGACCAGGGCGATTGATTTGAGCGGGAGCCGGGCATGGTTGTTGCCTAAAGGACATGGAGGATCGTCGGGCGGGCCAAGAATCGTTTTCTGGTTAAACAACCAGCATGCTCAACGCATCCATCACTGACAACATAATAAACAGCTAAGTCCTAATATAGTACTACATCCACCCAACTTGGAACATTGCTTATCTAATCACGACACATAAATAATGCAGATCTAAGCCATTTTAATAAAACTGCACTCTAATTAAACCAATCTCCAATTAAACAATGCATATTGCAAATAAAAAAGATATAACCAACCATCAGTTGCCGCTATTCATTTCTTAATCCTAAAGCTACCACTGTTGAATTAGAACTTAGATTAACATGATCTTATCTTAGCCTAAGCATGATCACTAACTAAATCTTATGCGGAAATTAATATGATATTAACCAGAGTTTGTAGATGCCATTTGAGTGCCTCCGTAGACGTAGAAGAGTTGACTTAGATGAAGTAGATCTTAGTCTTCACCAGATTGAGGCTTGATGCTCCTGGTTGGTGAAGAACGCGATATAGATCTGCAACAGTACCTGGATATGGGTAGACGGCCTTCCTAAACCCTCCAGCGCCTAATCGATCGGTTATGTGAACAGTCACGTGGATTAGAGAGATTGTGACACTAGGGGCGCCTCTCTTATTTATAATCATGACGTGGGTCAGGGGGCCGAACCCTTAGAATTTTAAGGGTTGCCGCCGATCACGACAATTCTTATTTAGTTGAAAATAAATGACGAGTGGGTAGACCAAAAGCTTAACGCATAATTAATCTTGTAATTAAGTTCAGGATTAGCCAAACCGATTACATTCCAACATTCTCCCACTTGATCGAACGGCTAATGCAACCAATTATGCAACTAATGTTCGCTTTACACTTATGTTCATACTCAGTACTACAGCAAGACCAGACCAATGCGTCATCAGCAGCATTAATCGTCTCTGAGACCCCATTACCCATAGTTCACTGTAATACCTTGTTAGAACGCTTATTACTTATTGGGAGTACATGGCCCTATTACCAGGAATCTAAGTCAGAGACTATACTAAAACCCAAATTGATTTGCACGCTCATAAATGGGTAAGTGTTAAGACTCAAATAATCAAATATGCTAGCATCAGCTTAGTTCTTATTTTTCTCAAGCTTAATAATCTGATCCTGAGTTCTTTCTTTCACAACATTTAATCAATGTGCTTGGCATTAGTATTTGATGTGTTGTTACTCGAAATAACACTGCAACTCAACTGTAGGCCTATAATAGTATGTCAATACTCAATATTGGGATAATATCTCTTAAGCCACATAGCCGGTCATATTCATGCCACTAATTGAGCTCATCTTAATACTAATTATATTTGGAGCTTTCAATAAAGTTGTCCTTTTCTCTAAGAGTAGATATAATCTAATTGTGTACTTTCTTATATATACTCAAGAGAATCGGCAAATAAGTCTTAATTCTTATAAGTGACATGATGACTCTTTTGGTGCCTCATCAATATCTTAAAATTCTTTAGCACCTTCTAGTGGACCTATTCTGGATTAATAAACTAATATTTTGCCAAGTATCCCAATGCCAAGTCTAGACTAATATTGACTTTGAGCATTCTTAAAGTTAATAACAGCCGAAGCATATGGAACGTCTTCCTCTTCAACTGTTACTAACTTATTCTTAGAATAATTGGGATAATTAAACTTAATGCATTATGTAATTGCATTATGCGAACAAACATGCATGGCGTTACTTATTCAAAATCCATCACTTATGCATTCATTTGATATGCTTTTTGTGATAATCCTGGTACTCATTTGGTCCTGTATGGTGTATCTCAATAGCCAAAAAAACTGAGAGGCTATACCAAAATATATCATATTAAAATTTTTGGGCGAGCAGAAAACACTTATGTGACATTCCTATTGCCACATAACCCAACTTAACCCATCTAGAGTATTAGGACAATAAACTTTTTCCACCCTTTTTTTAAAACATAATTGTCCACTTAATGAAATTCTAAACCATCGTGGGCTAGGTTCTTAGTTTAAATCTTTCAAAACTTCCTTTGAAGTCACGCTTAGAATTGTAGACCCATTTATAGCCTACTGTTTTGACTTCATTAGAAAACTTATTGACATCCACACCTTATATATATACTTATGGACCTTAGCTTATAAAAATTGCTTAGCTTAGAATAACAAAAATCCTCTAGATGTGATCACTTATAGATTTACCATGGATCACAAGCAGTTTAATAACAATAGAGGTTTACTTATGTGCCTAATTATCAATCAATGCTTGCTACATATATCTATTGTGGCTTACTAATGGACTCTTGAAAATCCACAATAGAAATTATAGTAATTTAAATGGAGGTATATTAATGACTTATGACACAAACTGAGATATTTATGTCTTCTTGAGTCGTTGATACAGAAAACTAAGCTCGTATCTCTCCAAAATTTAATCTTCCTCCTTTGTGAGCTCCCACTAGCTCCCGCTGATTTTTGGATTCTCTAGGAACACATTCAGGGTGCCATGTGGATAGCCCATTTACTTAGAATCTCATTTCTTATTCTTAGCTTGGCAGTACTTATGTCTTGCTAAGGTTTTGCCCAGTAAAGCTTTTATAGTCAAATATTCATCAATCAGTATTGGCTAGAATGACAAACATAAGGCATATAAGTCTCTAAAAACAAGCTCTATGAACTAGTCTAATCAGTATTGGCCAGAATAAACTAGAACAAGAAACTTTGTGGACATGCAAACACTAATCAGCTTTGGCCAGAAATAGTGAAAGCAAGCCATACTTCAATTAGAGACTAATGTTGGGCTGAGGGACAAAATTAGTATGATTTTCTTATTATTATTTCTCAAGTCCCATGCTTTCTTATTTGAATATAGCATCTCTTTCCTGATGAGACAATCCATTCTTCCCTTCAAAATGTGGCTTAACTGTAGTGACACAATTTTGACAAGGTCTCATCACCTGACTAATGATTAACTTAAAGATAATAACATAAGAAAACTCATATCACAGGAAATAAATCTCTATCAATTAATAAGATAAATCATAATGGAATAAATTTGATGTATTCATAAACTCCAAACTCAAGAACATTTGGTCAAAATATAAAGTATCTCATACTAAAATGACACAAGCATCATTAAGAACTAAGTTTAAAACTAATATAATGTGAAGCTCCAAGGTTCGACTTCATATTTATTCCATCAATAGCTCCTTAGACTTTGCTCCCCTTGCTCCCCTAGTTTGGCAAGACCTAAGGAGAAGTTAAGATATGCATTATTGCATCTTAGTTAATCCACCATATGTTGGGGAAATATCTTAAGTAAAACTTATGAGACAACTTAAGTTACCTGTCTTTCGAAGCCATTTTTATACTTATCATCAATTTGGTAACTTGCAAAATTTGCAGACCATTGGAAACTTATCATTTTGAGCATATGTTTGGTATGGTTTTCTGGCATAAAACTCATAAGGCAATTTACCATAAACTCATCAGACACATGTAATCCAAGTGCCTTCAATTCATAAGCCATATCAAACAAGCTCTTAACGTGGTTACCCAGGCCACTTATCCCATCATAATGGAAATTAATTAAGTTATTAAAGAGAAAAACCTTTCTAAAATGTGCTTTTATGGAGTTGTGAAGCTCCTTAGCACTTAATTCTCTGTTATCCTTTTCAGTAGGGAAAAAACTCCTCATATCAAAAGAGATTGAGTATCTTATGATCATTTTTGCAATCCTATCGGATTTCTTCCATTTTCTAATTTAGGAGTGTACTCCTTCATCCTGTCAATATAGTAATCATAAATAGGAGAAGGAGCATGTGGTTTTTCCTCATTAAGCGCATAATCAAGGTCCAGCTCCTTAAGAATGACATGCACCTGATTATTTCAAGTAGGAAAATTAGTGCAACTTAGGGGTTCTAGGTACTTATATAGTCTGCATAATTTACTGAAATTTTTTTAAAGCAAAATAATGTGTCAATTAGTAAGCTGTATATAAGATGTACTTAAAGCATGAAGTTAAAACAATGTTGGTCAGTATTAAAAGCATGCTTAAAAACTTTAATTTGCATCACCATTGGGCAGAAACAAACCAAAATTCATCTTAAATAACTCATAATTAAAGTCAACATTGGTCAGAAATTAATTATGAGTAATCTCTAGTTAAACTTCTCGTTGGTTCCATTCAACCAGAGACCATCCTACTATACAGTGGTGGATATAATGTATATATAAATATAAATACTTATTATTAAATGCAAAATTAATGCAAAACATAATCTTAGAGCATCAATATAAAACATAATAATGCTCAAGAAAACATAGAATTAATACTGGAACTAAAACTAAAAACTCAAACTTAAAACTTATTTAAATAGTGCATAAAACTAACTACGTAAAATGCTCTAAAGAAAAAATTCTTAAACTTAAATATTCTCAGCAACATATTCTAAAAAACATACTTAGATTAACTTAAAAGATTACTAAATAAAATGGATAATAAACTTTATATGAAATGGGAATAAATATCATCATGAGGGCATTAAACTTATATATATAGTTGCTTAGAAAGAACTAAAAAACTGAGCATAAATGAATGGTAATTCTTAGAAAAAAAGTTCCACGTAAACTTAAATACCCCAAAACTCGTTAAATAAAACAAAAATGAACTTATTAGTAGTTGGGGAATGAACATAATTATTTGGAAAATAAACTTATTGTGTAGGCCTATGCTTATAATGAAACTCAATTCGGCCACATTGAATTAGCCTGACTAATGGAGTGGCGGCCAGCCATCACGTGGTCAGC